GCCTGCCCTCGCGCCCGGGGCCAGCGGCGCCCCCGCGCCCCCTCCTGCAGGAGCGGGCCGGGTGGCGACAAGCAGCGGCGTCCCGGAGGGGGGTTCTGGGTAAGGGCAACGCTGTCGAGAATCCGAGAGCCGGTACCGGTACCGGTACTGGTCCTCCCCTGTGGGCAACACCGGGGTGGCTCCGGGGTAGACGTTCCTGCCGCCGCGGCTGCCGGTCCTGACGGGTTTTAACGTTTTGTCTGTCCAGCAGCCGGGACGCAGGCCTGTCCGGAGACGCCTGGGCGGAGCGGCCCGAGCCGGAGTCCGCGGACGTTCCCGGGGAGTCCCTGGAGATCCAGCCGGTGGTCATCAAGGAGGAGCCCCTGGAGCCGGAGCCGGGAGAGGGGGAGCCCCCCGCCTGGCCGCTGTCTCCGGCCCCGCAGGAGCCCCTCGCCGGCGGCGCAGGCCCGGGGCGCCCCCCGGCGCCGAAGCCCTACCGCTGCGGCGAGTGCCTGCGGGCGTTCTCGTCGCCGCGGGGCCTGGAGGACCACCGGCGCGTGCACTCGGGGGACAAGCCCTTCCGCTGCGGCGAGTGCCACAAGACCTTCGTGGCGCTGAAGAACCTGCGCAAGCACCAGCGCATCCACTCGGGCGAGAACGTGCACCGCTGCAGCCAGTGCCCCCGCAGCTTCATCGCGCTGGGCAACCTGGTGACCCACCAGCGCGTGCACACCGGCGAGCGGCCCTACCAGTGCGCCCAGTGCCGGCGCCGCTTCTCCCGCAGCTCGGACCTGCGCACGCACCAGCGGCTGCACACCGGCGAGAACCTCTTCTCCTGCGCCGAGTGTGGCAAGAGCTACATCTCCAACAACGACCTCAAGCGCCACCTGCTGACGCACACGGGCGAGAAGCCCTACAGCTGCCCCGACTGCCACAAGAGCTTCCGGCAGCTGGGCCACATCAAGGTGCACCGGCGCGTGCACACCGGCGAGCGGCCCTACAGCTGCAGCCACTGCCGGCGGAGCTTCAGCACCGGCTCCAGCCTCAAGCTGCACCTGCGCACGCACACTGGCGAGCGGCCCTACTGCTGCGCCGAGTGCCACCGGGTCTTCACCCGGCTCTCGCACCTCAAGCTGCACCTCAGGGTGCACCGCCGGTAGGGCAGGGCAGGGCAGGCAGGCAGGGGCCGTGTCGGCACGCCGCAGAGAGGAGACGGGACAGGACAGCACGGCACAGAGAGGAGACGGGACGGGACGGTTCGGCACACGGCAGAGAGGAGACGGGACAGGACAGTTCGGCACACCGCAGAGAGGAGACGGGACAGGACAGTTCGGCACACCGCAGAGAGGAGACGGGACAGGACAGTTCGGCACACCGCAGAGAGGAGACGGGACGGCACACCGCAGAGAGGAGACGGGACGGCACACCGCAGAGAG